ACCTCGAGGCTCTAAAGACCCCTAGGAGATTATCGTCCAAACAAGTCCGCTGGGCCCAATATTTCAAGCAATTCAATTTCAACATTAAATATATCCCTGGAGGGAAAAACATACTGGTGGACGTTCTGTCCAGAAAACCTCAGTTTGACAGCCACCGAGAGGAAATAGTACAAGCCTTAATTTCAGAAGCTCAATCGGCAGGCCAAGTGACCACTCAAGCCCAAGCCAATGGCAACCCCAAATGCCTGGAAGATAAACTGACTGTGGAATTGAAAATGGCCCTATTGACCGATCCTTGGTTCCTGGACCATCAAACCAAGTTGACAATGAATGATGGACTAGCTTGGAAAGGAACTAAGCTTTATGTACCCGCGACCCTAAGACTACTGGTACTAAAGTGTAGCCATGACTCCCGGCTGGGAGGCCACTTCGGATTCCTAAAAACCCTACATTAACTGAGAAGACAGTTCTGGTGGCCAAAAATGAAATCTGATGTCGAGGACTATGTAAAAAGTTGTTCAATTTGTGCCACAATGACACAGAACTGGAAAAACACAGAACTGGAAAAACCCCTGGCCTCCTGCAACAAGTCGCTGAACCAACCCAACCTTGGGAAGAAATCGCAATGGACTTTATTGTTGAACTACCCAAGAGTGAAGGGAATATGATCATTTGGACTATAATTGACTTATTCTCTAAACAGGCCCATTTTATAGCCTGCAAAGGACTTCCATCTGCAAAAAAATTTACAAAGCTGTCACAAAATTTACAAAGCTGTTACAAAACATATCTATAGACTACATGGAGTACCGCGTAGAGTAATATCAGACAGAGGGGTACAATTTACCGCAAAATTTTGGAGGGAATTTCTGAAATCCATTGGTTCCTCTCAAGGGTTATCCTCAGCTTTCCATCCTGCTTGTAACGGAGCAGCAGAGAGGACTAATGCCATGATTGAACAATACATTAGATGCTATGTAAATTATCAACAAGAAAATTGGGCTGAGTTATTACCTTTTGCAGAGGTTGCTTACAATAATGCAGTACATAGCAGCACGGGATTGACTCCATTCCAAATCAACACTGGAATGGATTTTGTCCCTATGCCAGAATTACCTAGACAACCTCCCTCATCCATGTCCCTAACAGAATGGATGAACTCATTAAGGAAAGGGTGGGAAGATACAAAAAAAAAAAAGCTTTGAACGAAGCTGCAAAAAATAAAAAAACAGGCGGATAAACGTAGATCCCTTCAACCGCCCTTTAAAGTAGGGGACAAAGTGTATTTGCCAACCAAGTATCTTAGGTTGAAACTGCCCAGTAAGAAGCTGGGTCCAAAATTCTTGGGTCCGTTTCCAATTTCAAAAATAATCAATCCGGTCACTGTCCAATTAAGTCTTCCTCGACTGTTGGGGAAAATTCATCCGGTGTTCCATTGTAGTTTACTGAAACCAGCTATGTGGTAGGTTCAATCTCACAAATTGTTGTCTTCAAATGGATAGTTGGCAAAGTAGTAGCACAATTAACAACTGAAATGCGACAATTAACCTATAATCCTAATCAAGTATGGCAAGGTATTGATTTTAAAAATATTTTTAGTTCCTGGTTCCCAAAACTACCAGGATTACAAGCTATAGTAGCTCTCATAGGTATGATTGCTGCAGGATGCGTTATTCTTCCATGTGTGTTACCAATTTTTATTCGCACTATCTCCAATAGTCTCTCCTTGTTAGCTGAAAAGCGCACTATTGCACAGGTTAATGCCCTCTGGGAAAAGGAACCTCTGTACAAAGTCATACCCTCAGAAGACCCTGATGCGTACGCTCGCACAGATTTTCACATGGGCAGTGACGAAGATCCAGAAGAAATTTCCTTCGTATAAAACTAAAACAGAGGAGATGCAGTAATAAATCAGCTTCAATAGTTTCGGTACATACCAGGCCTCAAGGCCTCAAGGCCTCACGTAGGCTGAAAGCGTGTACCAGGAACAAAGAACATCAATCAACAACACGTCATCATGGGCTAATAACTGGACTGCAAACGCTGACTGGCTACTTTGTGCCTTTCAAACTGACCATGTAACTGTAATTGGATGCTGCTATGTGTCCACTAATATTTCTGCTCATGTAACATAATGATTGGATAGAATTCACCGCTTATGACGTATCACTATGTGTTTTTAATAAAGGAGCTTCCCGAACTCATAATCGGGGCAGCTCACCCAAGATAGAACCTGCCTGGAGTCTTTCTTGATGCATTCGACCACCCAGTGAGAAGCCTTCCTAATGCGGAGCAAAGCCGCACTGCATCAATGATAAGACCACTGCCAATCGCTCCCCCTAAACCGTTAATGGTACAGGGGGAAACACATTATGAAATTCAAAAAATTCTCAATTCTAGATTACACCGTGACTGATTGCAATATTTGGTCTTATGGAAAGGATACCCCCTCTCAGATGCTAGTTGGGTAAAGAGTTGGGATGTTCATGCTGAACAATTGGTTAATCAATTCCATGAGGATTTCCCCCACAAACCGGAGGGTTTTCGTGGAGGGGGGAGAGGGGGTTAAGGACAATGTGTTAACCCCTGTATCTGTTTTTTTCCCTTTTCTTTTAGGAGTTTTCAAGGGGGGACACCTGTCAGTTTTAAAATTCAGCTGTCACATTTCATGGAAGGGGGGGTGGAGGAGTTGAAAAGTTCAAGGTTATTCTGTATGTTGTATTTAGAAATTCTAGTTGCAGTTAATTGGTTCTCGTGATTTATGAAGTGTAGAAGTGGGAGGAGAGAAAGTGGATTCTGTGTAACGCGCGAAAATAATTTCACTTTGGGAAATTGCCTTTGACATGCCAGATCTGTTTCTAAATAAATCAATTGGAAAGAAAATGTCTCGAGTGATTGATATCATGGATACTTTCTGGATGCCTTACAAACAGATCACAACCTCATAAAGTACCAAGAACCATGAACCGTGTACAACACATGCTGTCGAGCCAGATCTCCATGCCTACGAGAATGCTGACAGCAACAAGCACTCAGATGCTCTGCATCCAGCCTCTGAGCCACCACAGCAGACAACTCATAACCCTCCCTTGGCCAAGGAGCCTCAGCGTGCTACAGAGGCAACCCCGAAGCCAGTGATGAGTTTCAATTGCACAGCAGTGTGCGACAACACACTATCCCCTCGTTCATGTCATCAGATCTGGTTAGCCAACATCTACCCCGATAGATGCCCAGAAGAAGCAGTGAAGATGTGTGTAATAGTGGATAATCAGAGCACTTGCTCGCTGTCCAGATCTGCATTCTTCGACCTCTTTGCTGTTCAAAAGGAAGAAGTGCACTTCACAATATCAATGTACACCGTACCACAAAGCACGGCGGGGAGAGCTACTGGACTCTGTAAAGCGTCATTAGATGGAAGTTCCCGGTTTCCATGGCCGCCTGTGTTAGAATGGGATGGGATACCAGATGACCACAGCCAGATTGCAACATCAGAGGTAGCAAGCAACATACCTCACCTGAAGCACATGGCTCATCACTTTCCTGCTCTAGATCCAGTAGCCAAGATTCTGCTTTTGTTGGGAGTAGATGTACCTGATGTTTTCATTCACAATGAAGTAGTCAAAGGCCCAAAAGGCTCCCCATTTGCCTTCAAGACAGTGCTAGGATGGGGAATCACAGGGATGGTCTGCATCAATCAGCTGCAGGCCCCATCCCAGGCAAATGTCTTCGCAACATCTATCCCAAAAGCTTGCCAACACCCCTTGGAACCGTTGTAAGCAAGAGTACCTGTCCACCCTACAAGGCCGCCAGAAGCAACCAGCAGACTTTCACCAAGAAGCTCTACACCAGACTGGTCACTGACCTAGTGATGCTGCGGAGAAAGGCTGAACTTGAAGATTGAACCTCAAGCTTTGCATGCTTTGCTTTGTTTGATGCTATATTACTGTTTATCTTAGTTATATAGTTACTTGATAGTTAGTTAGTAGTGGAATTTATAATTCCAGGTGAGGAGTGTGCTGTCCAGACAGTATATAGGTAATGGGAATTGAGATAATTAAGTTAGAATTGGAAGCTGTTCCCTTAAGGGAATGCCTCATGGTAAATGTAGTTAATGCATCCTGGGAAATGTACTTCATGTCATGTGATCACATCTGTAATCCTGATTGGTCACTGAATTGACCCTTGGTTCGGTTGGGGGAGGTTCCTTCACTCTTGCCTGTTGCCTCACCCCCTTGCTCCTTCATTATGGGATGAAAGATCACTATTCTTTTACACTATGAAGTCAGCTATGCAAAGAATTGGACATTAGATGGCTCTCAACATAACCATGAGTTATATTTGAGGATACCTGGTGACCCAATAAAGAAACTTTGTATGGAAGCCTTTGTAGAGTTGTCTGTCTGTCTTTATATTCAGCCAGCAGTCTAAAGACAGAACAAATATACTAGTGAAGAATTTGGGGCTATCAATAGGAAATGTCTTAACCAAGAGCAAGACTGTAGAGTTGTAATTGCAGGAATGTTCCAATCTCAGATGGCAAACCTCAGATAAAGAATGTTTCCAAGCAAATACAACTCAGGTAAACAAAGTCACTAATCTAAAGGAGGATTAGAGAGAGGAAGTAAACATATGTTAGACTTTAACTAGAGATAATTAATTGTATGGATTACTGTGCTAAACAGTAACGAAAGTTAAGCAGTAACCAAAGTTAACCAGTGATGGAAGGTAACTAAAAATGTGTATAAATGCAAGACTAGACTCCAATAAAGATTATCATGATTCAGTTGTTCATGATCAAACAACTCGACTGCCTCGTCATTATAACACAAGACTGACAATGTCCTGATTCCAGTTGCTCCTCGTAACTCTGCTGAAATGGAAGCTGAGGCTTCTCCTTCCCCCCGCCCCAAATAACCATGGATTACATCTTATAATCTCTTCTCAAAGGTAAATGTATTTATTTAATTAAAAATACTCAAAAACATACATTTTATAGAATTACCATTAGCCATTAGCCAAATTTAAACAAATTTCCAAATATAAGGACATTTTTTCTCAAATGGTTTGGAAAGCTGAAAATTATAATGAACTGAAACATTTAAATATAGTTGCACAAAATAAGATTAACTGACATAAATACTATACTAAAATCCAATATCATGTTTAAGTGGTTAATTTCTTTTGTACAGTTCATATATGTACACTAAAAAAAGCTTTAAATACAAGGACAGCAATTTCAATCCTGAAGAAAGACAAGGTAATGAATTTTGCTGCATGCCACAAGAATACACATTTGACTGGCTCCAGAACATCCCTTCTACAAATAGCAGGCCACTTTCTGTTCATATATGTGATATAGATCCAGCAAAGTCCTCCCTAGAGGGAGAAGAAATGAAATTTTACCAATTCGTCATTGATAACCCTTAGGTCACTTCCCACACTGTTCTGGGAAATTGCTAGTCTAATGAGAAAAGAAAGATTGAATGGACAAACATCACCTCTTTAAAAGACAGTGTTGAACTCACAAGAACTTTGGGATCTAGCCAGATGTGGTATTCTGACCAGTTCTGGAGAACCGGTAGCGGAAATTTTGAGTAGTTCAGAAAACCAGAAAATACCACCTCTGACTGGAGATTTTACAGTATCCTTCCCCTGCCACGCCCACCAAGCCACGCTCACAGAACCGGTAGTAAAAAAAAAGAATCCCACCACTGGATCTAGCCCATGATTTGACTATTAAACAACCCATTTTCTACATATGTGGTAAACAAGGTAGCTGTAGATTCTAGGGGAAGAGTTTTTGGTTTAGCTGTGCTTTCACTCACTTTCATGCTCCAACATCTGAAGTGGTTGCTTGGTATCTGTAGCAATACAGTTTGTTGTCTGCTCCACCACTCAGCAGCAACTATAACAGAGGAGGAGAGGATCAAATTATAATAAGACTATTATAAACTAATTATCTTTCCAACAAAGGGGATAAAATGCAACGTAACAAAGTCCACGAAAACTGTATTATTTAAATAATAAAAAATCACCATGACTTTTGTTTCTCAATAATTTCCAAATAGCAGGAAATATTCTTCTAATAGCATTATCCCTAATATGGAAAAAACATAGAAAAAATATTAACATGTTTGATTATTATATCATCAGATTAAGATCTTCAAAGCATTGAGATAAAAAAAAAACAGTAACATGATTCAAAATGTAGTACATCCCTGGAAAATCTCTATTTCTGTACTTGAAAAAGAAGTGTCTTTATAAGCAATAATATTTATAATTGCTTTGTCATGTTCTGTTTCTTGTTCATGCAACTCCAGCTCAATTTTGTATCATGACTTTGGCTAGATTAACCATGCTTTAACAAAATGCATCAATTTAATTTAATAAAAATAATTAACACAACATAGGAACCACTCAACTCCAAATTGACTCTGGGCAGTGTACAGTACAGAAAGTATTGTGCAGAAAGTACAATACAATAATTATAAAAGAAATAAGAAATAAACAAAAACAAGGACCAACAGTGAGTCTAGCTAACCACACCTCCACAGAATCTGAGAGAAGCCCCCCAATACCCTAAGCAAGGTCTGGAAGAATAGCCAGGTGTTTAAGGCTTTCCAGATGCCATCAGAGTAGACAAAACTCAGTAGCACTTTTTTGTGCAGCTGTTGATAAAAATAGGATCCATAACATGATCGCCAACGTCTGATGATGGATATGGCACAGGAAGATCAGAGTAGCAGCCACACAGACAACAGATAAAGTACACTTCCTGATTCACAGGAGATGACACTGTTTAATTGAAGGGCCTCAGCCTGCCTCACCTCTTTTATATCAAACCAGCCAGTCTGATACCATGGGAGAATTAGATCCAGAAGCATACCAATAACCAGTGCAATTGACAAAGCAGAAATGTTCCAGGTGCATATCAAAGCATGTCTATCACCACCCACACCGCTGCATTCTGGATCAGCTGGAGCTTCTAGGTATCTTTAAGGGCACCCTCGTGGAGAGAGCACTGCAGTCTAGGAATCAATGGTTTATTTAGCAAGTCTTGTTAAACGATCACTTGTGCCATACTCACTTCACATGAGAAGCGACTGTTTAACAAGACTTGCTAAGTAAACCATCATGGTTTGATTCCTAAATGTTAAATCATAAACAGAAGGGAGTTTCAGTGGGAAATAAATGAATGCATACACGAGTTAACAGTAATTTGCAATGTAGAATGGCCACATTAATATTACATTTAAGCAAAAATGAAAAAAATCACATTATGTTCTTTTAATCAGGACATTCTAAGGTAACCTTTGGTCTATCTAAATACCAGAAAGATGAGAATTCATGCAAAGTTTGGAGAAAGGTAAAGCTTATCCTATAAAGTAAAAATGTTATCTAATTGTTCTATAAATCCCTGACTCTAAAAGGTTTAGCTTATTTTGTTAGAGTGGGTAGTGAAGGGGCTGCAGCTGCTTGGGAATTTTGCTAAAAGATCTTTCTACAAAATTAGCTGAATCATAATTCAGTTCAATTCAAATTCAATTCAAAAAACAAAAACACCAAACCTGGATGTAAGAATCAGAAGGAAGGAAATAAATACTTTGGATCTGTTGAAACTCACTTCGTTTGCTATATTTTAATTCAGCCAGTTTTTATTAACACAGCTTCTCCCCTTGGTTCAATTGTTTTGGTTTGGAGAAAAATGCATTCTACATATTTCTATGTCTAATAGCTGGGATGAGATTGGAGAAGAGGACAGGGCCCTTGGGACCGCAAGCTCAATTGTTTGTTTATGATATCCATGTCCCTCCTGGCTTGTCAAGGCCGTTAGGGAGGTGGCATGCAATTGGATCCATGCAGCAGCGTCAGCCTTTTTGAAGGAAGGGTGGTTCAGTCTGCCTTGAAGGAAGCCCAGTGCACCTTCTCTTGAAAAAGCTATTGCTGGATCCAGCAGTGTGGAAAGTGTCTATCCTGTCTTCAATTGTCCTTTTAAAGAAGTGGCTGGGCTAAGGCTCCAGATGGCCCTTTTGGAAAAAAGATTATCCAGCGTTGGGATGGAGTGGTGCTGCCATCCTCATTCTCCTGGATCCCTCAGTGGCTTTCAGTTGATCATGGTGTCCTTCTGGACTGTCTGTAAGGATTAGGAGGGGGCAGTGTGGTGTGGAAGTGCTTCTCTCCCTTTCTTTGTGGGCAGTACCGTTCTAATCAACTGGGATGAGAGGGGTTGAAACTGAAGCCCCTAACTTGTGGGGTGTTTTAAGTCTTAACACTTTTACCCCTTCTGTGTGTGAGTCATCCATTGGTTTGGGGTTGACAACAATGCTGTCAAAATCTTGTTTAAGTGTTTGGTAAGAGATTGAATGGAGAGGAACAGATTCAGGCACAACCCTAACAAAACTGAGTGACTTCAATATTTGAAGAGTGGGGTTACAAATCCGCATTTGGGCCTTGTGGGCAATCTGAATTTTTCTAGATTCACAATTTATGCTCAAAGAACAGATGACAGCTGTGGCCATGGAGGCCTTTGCACTGGTCATTCACACCCCAATCACCACATAGGATGATTACTGCAATGCGCTGTAGACAGGACTGCCCCAGGAAACCATTTGGAAAATGCAGCTAGTCCAAAATAGAGAATGTGAACGATGCTGAGGATGCTGTGATATGCCCGTTTAACACTGCTGTTCCACAAGCTTTACCACTTACTTCATTTTCAGATACCAGCTCCTTTATGACCACAATTGTGCTCCATTTTACAACTTTTCTTGCCACAGTTAAGTGAATCACTGTAGTTAAGTTTGTAACACAGTTGTTAAATGAATCTGTTTTCCACATTGCCTTTGCTTGTCAGAAGATCATATGATCCCCAAGGCACTGCAACTGTCATAAATATGAATCAGTTGCCAGGCATCTAAATTCTGATCACGTGACCACAGGGATGCTGCAATGGTCATAAGTGTGAAAAATGGTCATGTCACTTTTTCAATGTCATTGTAACTTTAAATGGTCACTGCCTGTGCAGACTTACATGGTACCAATGTAATTTCAATCTTTCATAATCTCTCATAAAATTAGTATTTAAAAAAGGCTTTCATGGCATAGGACCTTGCTGTTTGAGGAATTATCTATCTCAAACCCATCCTGTACAATCCTATAAAGTAAGTACATTCTATGTCCCAACAATCAAACACTGTCATTTGATGGGAGTCAGGAAGCTGGCCTTCTCTGTCATGGTAACTGCCCCTCATTTTTATAGAAGATTCCTGGGGTTTAAACTATCTTAGCCCTTTGAGGTAATCTTGGAGAATTTAAGGAGCTGTTTCATTCTAAAACAACAAATTGTATTTATTCTGCCTAGTTTGGAGGCATTAAGAAAAAAAGGAATGCCTTAAGTCCCTTGAAGATTTAAATCGTCTAACTATCACTCCTAACAGATTGCAATGTCTGATCCAACCATCTGAGGTATCACATTACTTGACTTTAAAAACAAGTGGAATCCTAGCCCTAAGAAAAATGACTCCACCCCTTTACTACCTGGGCTATTTTACCCTTTTGTGGCATTTATACATATGCATGCATTCATGTGAGATTCATGTGGGTTTTCATATGCAATACTAACTTCTGTACCTTTTAACATTAACAGTAAGTTCAATTAATTTTAAGTGTCCTTTTGTGAGTTTGGATAGTGGCTGTAATACCTTCTTCTGAGAAGTAAGAAGCAACTATTTCTATAATTAAAGATTTTCAATGCCCACATTCAGTGCCTGCATGTCTCATATTTGTTCAGTCACCTGTCTCTCTACACACCCAAATTTACATGTTCAAGTGAACAGAGGATACTGACAACAGCCCTGGAATATTTTATATAATGCAGAGTTAAACATTAGCTCTCTTCTCAGTTTTTATCAGATTCTATACTTTTTTGAAATATCAATTCTTACCCCAGCTTCAGTCCACTCCACACAGAAAACTTTGTCTTCATGAGCCGCCAAGTCATAAAGAGGAGCTTTGCAACTGATGAGATACAGATTATTAAAGCCAGTTTTAGTGTTGTTAATTATGTGGTGTGACTCTGATGGTTCTTTGTTGAAAAGTTCCCTCTCAATCCATTTTGTCTCCAACTCCTCTTTCTCTATTTTCTTTTTCTTTAAATATATATCTACTAGGACAGTGATCCCCAACCTTTTTTATGCCGCGGCCCGGTACCGGCATCAGCTGGGCGCTGCCATCTTTTTTTGATGAAAAAGTGCTTCCGGTGAGCTTTCTACCCGGAAAAGCTCACCGGAAGCACTTTTTCATCAAAAAAAGATGGCGGCGCCCAGCAACCAGCGGCCTGGTAGGACTTGTTCCGCGGACCGGTACCGGTGGTTGGGGACCCCTGTACTAGGACACACATATTGTCCACCCATCTGAGATGGAACAAAAATCTTACTTAAATGAATCTTGATTCCTGATAAGGTCCATACAGGTATTCCATTTTCTTTTGTATGATATATTTTTTTTCAATTTCCCAGTGTACCATGTAGCTTTTTCAAGAACAGGCATGGTATGATAGCCTTGCAAATGATTTAGTACAAAATTCAAATTAAAAAATATGTTGGGCTCTATTCAGAAGTTTACTTATTTTGTTTTATTTTATTTATATGCTGGCCATCTCAGTCACCGGACTCTGAGCAGCTTACAATGTCATGTACTGCAAATGCTTTCTGGTAGAGAATTTGGAGGCATGTTCAGATCTAATGGCCTACCAAGAGTATCTGTATTTATCAACTAATGAGTATATTTTAAAGCAAGAACTTTCAAAACCCTAAAACTGCAGTTCTTCATTTTGCATGTCATATACCATGTTTCTCTGAAAATATGACCTACCCCAAAAACAAGCCCTAGCCTGATTTTCATGCCTGCCCCTAATATAAGCCCTACCCAAAATAAGCCCTTGTTAAACCCTGCCCATTGCCTGGTTGCACAAGGTGCATGTGTAAAAATCAAGATAGGGCGGGGGTGAGGCTGACCCATGCACCCCACACCCGCTTACCTTAGTACCTCAACAGTCACGCCCCCAATGCCCCGGCACCTGTCATGATGCTGCCTGACTTCTTCTGTGGTTGCTTATGGTGGCCAGATGCCGTGTGGCTTGTTGCACCAGTGCCTCTGCTTGCAGCATGGCTCATCGCACCAGTGCTGCTGCTCATGGCAGGAGGCCATGTGGCACAT